TCTTTCGGGATCAAAGGAGACAGGTACTAGTATGCTTATCTGCTTTTGTAGAGAGGTGGATGAGATCTGATTAAACTGATCCTATTTATCAATTCATTTATCCATAAAGGTTCTGTATTGATATGTATGGTTCTATGAAGAACCTTTAACATCCATTGAACCTTTTCATTACTTTTAAAATGTTCTTGATAGTAGAAAAAAGGTCTTTAGATTTTTTAAATGTTTTTCACACTAAGAAAAAAAATGTCGTTCTTGTGTTCAAAAACGGGGTACAACTTTTGGGTTGGGGGTGGAATCGGAATTGAGGGTGGAACCACATTGGTTTCCATGCAGTTTGCCAAAAATCAACAATATGAAAAATACAAATGAAAAACACAGAATATATATAAAAACAGAAAACCTCTATTGCAGCTTGGTGGACACTAAAACTGTAAAATATGTGAGAAATATAATAATTCCCATTTATTTTTATTGTGTAATTTCCATTGTGTCAGGGGTCACTTTGACCCACATATTATTATAATATTGACACAAAAAATAAAGAAAAAAATTAAATTAAATAAAACTGAGATGCGAATAGCTACAAGTATAAATAGTATCTAACATTATTTTTACTATTTGTAGTATTTATTGCTATTTGTACTTATTCTGCCTGTTTGTTGTCTTTTTCTCAAAGCCTTGTTAGGGTAAAATGGGTTTCTTATGTTTTTCAGTGCTGTAACAGTCTAGTAATTTAGATCCAAAAATAACCTTTAAAAGATTTTTTGACTGTGAAACTCAACTTGATAAACAAACATTTCCTTGGATGATTCAGATGAAGAGTCTCAATTACAAGTAAACTTTGAGCCTTAAATTTCAGAAGTCATCATGTATTTCATATTTTAGTGTTTGACAAGCTACAATAAAGGTTGTCTGTCTTTTCTACAAAATGTTGATTTTTGGCAAATTGCATGTAAACCAACGGGGGGTCAATATGACCCCAACACAAAAGTCATAATATAATTTGTACAGCCTTTACTAAACACATCTATGTGTGAACCTTTGCATGCACATTCATGACCCTAAATGAGAAATATTCACATAGTTTCAATAAGAAATAAATAATTCAACCAGTTTGAAATAGTTTGAAAATCGAGTATGTGTCAAACTGACCCCAACACAGCAGACGGGGTTTTAAAGGTCCCATATTGTCAAAACTGAAATTTCCTGGCTTTTTTCATGATAACTGAGGTCTAGGTGCTATGTAACTACCATATAAGTTTCAAAACAGTCAATCCACAGTCAAATGCACACAGCCTGCATAAAGTAGCTGTCATTTTGTGACTTCCGTAAAAAGGTGACGTCAGAACTACTCAGTCACCGCCTTCAGTCACCACCCCGAGCACTGCCCACAGTCCCACTCTCCTTTTGCCAAACCCCCAGACAACATCGCGTCCATGCCATTGCTGAGCACAACAACACATTGCCACCGGCGGTAGTGCACGTGACGTCACACACTCTATAACAAGCATAATACAAAGTTTTGTATACAAGTGTAATAATAGTAACAATTGCAAATTGTTTTATTTAAACTATAAGTCTATGCTAATTCACAAATTACCTCAAACGTCATACACGGCGTTTGATCCTTTAGATTGGCAGGTTTGAGCGCAGGAAAATACAGTACAGAATACAGAAACCAAATACTACATCGCCAGTCTGGAATCATTTCCATTCATGTCACCCATCCGCATTTGTACAAGTGTCTTCAAGTTCACGTGATCGCAAACGCTCGGCTGGTCCGGTTTGTATTTACTGCATTCGGTGTGTGAAAAAAAAAAACATGAATTACCATTCTGAAACATCCTGTTGTAAGCGCGTTTGAGGAGGTGGTTGGTTGTCTCCTGTCGTCGCCGATTCGGGGTCTGAGTTCGGCTCAAACATGTAAGGCCGAACAACATTTCCCTCAGCAGTGACCATCATTGACTCGCCTTTCTGGATATCGTTTTGAAATAGTGTTTCTATTGACCTTACTTGTGAGTATCACCAATCCACAGCAGGCTACAGCATACATGACCCTAGTTACCTGTGGTTGGCCTGGCCGTGTGTCACTCAGAAAACAACAGGCCAATCAGAAGAGAGGCTCATGAATATTAATTAGACAGTCCAAAATCGACCTTTTCTTTGCAGAGCTCCTGAGAAAGGAGCTGTAAAAATATATTGAGATGGTTTTTGGTACTTATACCGCAAATATATATTCTTAAGGACATCAAGACATAAAATAAAACTCCATAAATGTGTAAAATATGTGACCTTTAAGAACTATTCACTGAAAGGTTCTTTGGGGAAACCAAAATAGTTTTTCTATGGCATCGCTGTGAAAACACCCTTTTGGAACCTTTGTTTATATAAGAGTGTACCATATCTAACAGTATATTCTTATTCTCAGATATACCTGCCTCAGCCGCCAATGTGTCCAGACCCCGTCTACAAGCTCATGTTGAGCTGCTGGCACAGGAACACCAAAGAGCGTCCATCCTTCCAGGAGATTCATCACACATTACTGGATTGCAAGCCATAGTGTCCACTTGTGTGCCAACCTTGGCACTCCCAGAGACATTTCAGTGCGCCCACAGGACTCCAGTCAACTACACACTGCAACACGCACTTATATGTTCCCGAATATAAGTGAGATCAGAGTCTATCATTTTTCTGTAGCAATTTTCACTGTGAGTGTGCAAAGGCAAACTGATATATATTGTATGATTGAACTACGCCCCCTAACCAAGTGCCTTCGGCTGGCTTACAATTCCTGGGTAGCACTAGGCCAAAGAAAATGTAGCAATAAATTTAGGCACCTTTAACACAGAAGAATTGGATTTTACACACTGTTTTTTTTTTCTTCAAATAACTCTAAACATTCTAAAATATCTATAAGAATATTTCTGAATAGAAAGAGGAAATGCCGAAAAACAAGGTATTGGCTACTAATGCGCCTTTTATTATTTCCAATTTAATGTTGTTTTCAGTATTTTGAGGCCGAAGACAGCTTGAATGTAAATAAGAATCATTAATTGACATTCAGATTCACCTTTGGTTTTATCTTGATGTCTCTTGACGTTTGTGTATAATTTCATCTCATTTATCGAAAATGCTAAAGTATTTTGTTATTTTACATATTTTATTTTTTCTTTGTAGTAAACTGCAAAGACCACTTTCAAAGTGGATTAACAGAAAGCCAATTTATCTGGTTATCACATATTATCTGGTTGTCACAGAATTTCAAAATCAGAAAAATTCAATTAAAATTGTAAATGTAAAAAAATATATTAGTGTTATCCTGCAACTACCTATATATTGTGTTTATATTTAAGCATACTGCGTTATGTAAGTGTTTTGCTTTTCTTTATGTTATATTGTTTAAAGAATCTTGGTATGGTGATAATGGTTATTTAAGTCCATTTAATTTGTGCGCTTATTTTTTCTTTGCTCAAAACAACTTTTGCATCAAGAAACAGACATTTCAGCATAATGAGCTATGACAAGCCATAATTCTTTTACAGAAGTCTCTTACAATATTTGCATGAAGTTGGATGAAATCAGATATATTACTTAATGATCATTTCACATTTTCATTGCATCTGTCCTATGTTTTCATCTTATCTCAAATTAGGCCGAATGGGGGTAGTAAGTACATTTATTATTACCAGCTAATTTTGTTTATCTGTAGAAAATATTAAAATAAGCTTATTTTAAAGCTGTTTGTTTTTCTTTTATGTCAGAGTACAGTATATTCTAGGTGGTGCTGAATTGCTAAAGTGTGGGATAAATACTGGATTTGTATTGAACAGATGCACTATGAGGGTTTACAGTAAGTTGTGATATGTTTTGGCATGTGAAAAGTGCTGCAAATGAGACACTTGGAAATCTGTTTTGTAATTAACTTGTATACTTGTAAATCATTTTTGTAGGGTCATTGTATATGACCATATTTTTGAAAATGTGTGCACCTTTTGGGGTTGGTTAAGATATCTGCCAGTCTATAAGAAGTGTTTTGGTTGTGGGTTTGAAAGTATTTTATCTATAAGTATAAATTAATTTTTGCATTCTTGACATGACTGATGAAGTTGCATTATAGATATGCTATAATTCTGCACTTTTACATTAAATGTTCTTCCTTCAAACTATAAACATATAAAACAGTAACAGCCCTTTCTGAGGCATTGAGTTTGTTTTCAAAAACATTCCACTTTATAAAACATCTTTGTGAGGAGAGGAAATGAACAATTTTCATATTCTGTACATTGACAATGGCTTATCGCAATGCATGGAAAAACTGGATTTTTTCATTCATAAGCAACATTTCCTTAAAGTGATGCTTATCCTTTCTAACCTAATCTTTGTGCTGTATTTTTTAATTAGTCCTAATTTTCCATTATCAACCTATTGTATAGCTATGTTAGGAAACTACATAAAATAATAAATTGATGAACCTTTAAACGTGTTTAGACATTTTTTAATTAGAAAAAGCACGTATTTCATACTTTCACAGTAATAAAACGTGTGTTTGTTGTTTGTATACAAGTGAATTGGACATTTGTGTACAGCTTAGAATGTATCAAGACATTCATTTTAACGTGTGTACTCTAATATTTGCCTTTTAAATCGTTCTTTTCGTACGCTTCCGTATTTTCGTGCATTCGTTTTCTGTCAAATAAATCTGAACTGAACCTGATTGGTTAGCCTGGTCTGACAGTGGCTAAGTCTGGATTGGTCAGGGTAGATTTCACGTCACAGGAAGGAAACATCTGATTGGCCGATGGAAGTGTGACCTCCAATCAAACCATGGCGGCTGTCCAAACTCCATCCTACACTATGGATGCCAACTGCCGTAAAACTCCAATGAAGAAGAAGAATGAAGAAGAAACATTGGTGTGAAATACCACGGTTAGAAACGGTTGCGAAAGGAAAGTACAGTATCACAGGTAGCTTATCTTATATTGTATGAATGTAAAGATAGGATGAAGAAAGTAGTGTTGGTAACCGGTGCAAACAGGTAACAAAACTGTATAATTGTTTTCTTTGTAGTTTCGCATCACTGTTATAAGTTAGTTATAATAACTAGACATCACTGTTTTAAACGTCATTCTGTTATCATCGTAGTGACAACTTTTAGATTATTTTTCAATAATATTTCTGTTTTAACATAACAAAAAGACACCTTAGAAAGGAAGAAATTAGGATTAATTTGTTAGTTGATAAAACATGTTGCATAATGCCTCTTTTTCTCTCTGCATGTTAATGTTCACTCCATGTGACCCTCTTTGCATGCATGTGTGTTTTTCTGTGCGTTCAGTGGTATTGGCCTTGCCCTGTGTGCGCATCTACTAAGCCAGGATGCCCAGCTGCAGCTCTGTCTGGCCTGCAGGAACATGCAGAGAGCTGAGGCTGTCCGACAGGCTCTTCTAGTGTCTCGCCCTCGAGCTCAAGTTACTCTGCTGCACTTAGATGTGGGCAACATGCACTCTGTGCTCAGGGCTGCTGAGGAGTTCAAGCAGAAGTAAGACATCCCAGTCCCTGTTTACCAAAATACGCTATCATTTTAATGGACTTTATGCTTTTCATACAGTTATAGTGACCAGGAGATGTCAAGCTCTAAAAAGCACCATACTAGTAATACATGACTCGTCCACTTGAAGCCATATCATATGGTGAGGAAGTAACAGACTAAAACAGGGGTGCCCAAACTCGGTCCTGGAGGACCGGTGTCCTGCAGAGTTTAGCTACAGCTTGCCTCAACACACCTGCCTGGAAGTTTCTAGTATGCCTATAAGACCTTGATTAGCTGCTTCAGGTGTGTTTGATTAGGGTTGGAGCTAAACTCTGCAGGACACCGGCCCTCCAGGACCGAGTTTGGGCACCCCTGGACTAAAATTTAAGTTGCTGTTGATAAAAAATCCTGCACTGTAGTTCTGTAGTTTTTTTCTGAAATCTAATTGCGTATATTAAAAATTAGTACACCACAGTTAGTAAGCATGAACCAGTGCTGTTTGGTGTTATTACAGAACTTTCACTACTGTAGTATCCATGCCAGAAACCGAAAACTGCACTTTTGATTACTTTTGAATTCCCTTTCATGTATTTATACAAAGTTAGGAGCAGATTAGGAGTCACTAGACACTGTGAACTTGGTTTGATGTGACTAGCACATTTGAAGCCCCAGATCTGTTTAAAGTATAATGCTAAATAAATGTTATACATAATATAATTTTGAATGAACATTCAAATGTTATTTAACTTTTTAAAAACTTTATTTTTTTTTTGAACAGGTGCAACAGATTGGACTATCTGTATCTCAGTGCTGGAATCATGCCTAATCCCAGAGTAGATCACAAAGCCTTTTATAAAGGCCTGTTTTCTATGTACAGTATTTCTTTCTATATACACTGCCTATTTAAAAGTTTTGAAATTATAATGATTTTATTCAGCAAAGATGCATTAAATTAAAGGGGTCATATGATGTTGCTAAAAATAACATTATTTTGTGTATTTGGTGTAATGAAATGTGTTTATGCGGTTTAAGGTTAAAAAATACATAATTTTCCACATACTGTACATTATTGTTTCTCCTCTATGCCCCGCCTTTCTGAAACGCATCGATTTTTATAAAGCTCATCGTTCTGAAAAGCGAGGTGTGCTCTGATTGGCCAGCTATCCAGTGTGTTGTGATTGGCCAAATACCTCAAGCGTGTGACGGAAATGTTACGCCCATCACCATACTGTGATGCCCTGTGTCCCAGCGCAACAAGACAAAAACATTAAAACCCATAAACGAGGCATTTGTTGCATCCAGTGGGGACATAATTACGGATTATAATGACTTATACTGTCTTTTTACGCGTTGCGTTGCATCGTGCTGCGTAAACATAAAACCATGTCTGCATTTGTGATCGGAGAAATGACAAACAACAAGCACTACTGTACACTGCACAAAACTCTGGAAGGCCAAACAAAGTAGTTTCACTTTCACAACGAAACACATCGTCACAGACGGCGGCCTAGAGTGAAAACGGCCGGCGGGTTGAGTGAGCGGACGCCGGTGGGCTTGAGAACGGTCAAAGAGAAAGGAAAAATTTAAATCGCGTCATATGACCCCTTTAATCAAAAGTGACAGTAAAGATATATATAATGTTACTGTGTCCAATTATTTCTGTTGTTTTGAACATTATATTCATTAAAGAATCCTAAAAAAAATTATTACCCAGTACAACTGTTTTCTACATTGATAATAATAAGAAATGTCTCTTGAGCATCTAATCAGCATATATGACTGATTTCTAAAGGATCATGTGACACTGAAGACTGTAGTAGTGGCTGCCAAAAATTCTCTTTTTGAATTTTAATAATATATCACAATATGATGCATGGTGGCCATAGGAGTGTCAGGATCATGGACCTGTTTTGTTGTGTTTTGCCCCGGTTTCTGTTCCTGTGTTCCTTGGATTAAAGACTGTTTACGTTTCCTCGTGCCTCCTGCATGCTTCCATAACAGCGTAGTGTGACAAAAAGACTTCAGATAAAACTTAAGAATCCTACTGACCCCAAACTTTTGAAGTGGTGTAAAGTGTCTAAATATATTCTGTAAAGCAAGTTTGTGCCCTAACTACGTTCCTCAACTGTAAATCTGATATTACTGTCATATTATTGACTACATACAATGTAATGCTTCAATCATGCATCAGCCAGTGATTCAGTATTATACTCTTTACAGCATTCATTGTTGCATACTGTTTTGTATGTTGTTTTTAAAGTGTTATATATATATATATATATATATATATATATATTAGTATAGCATAGTATATACTGATATGATTATAATTCGTTGTTATATATTTTTCTACCCATCAGTAATGTGGTTTGCATGTTTGCCACGGGGGAGGGTATTCTGACCCAGGAAGATAAGGTCATACCCATTGGTTTGCAGGAAGTGTTTGCCACTAATCTTTTTGGTCATTTCCTTCTGGTAAATTGATGGATTAGAAATAAGAATGTGTTTCTATGACCACACATAAAAAGAAACAAAACTTAATAAAAAATTAGTGTTTTTTACCGTTATTTCTATACTGTTATTTACATAGCTGAGGTAAAACATATTACATTTTGACAGTATTTATGTCTTTTTCATGCAACTATCAAAAAATCATCTTCCTCAAAAATATCTCCTAGAACAGTATTTCACCCATAAATGCCACAGGATTCATTTCACTGTTGTCAACAACTTGTACACTGGCAGCTGTCTCGATCAATAATTCATCTGAAAGTATGTAGTGCTGAAGTTATTTTGAGTCCTCAAATTGCAGCCCTGTGCTTCTTTGTAAAGTGTTGCTGTTTGCTAATTGAAGAGCTCATTCCTTTGCACGAAGGCATTTGGTCATCAGTGCTGGAAGTCGGGCAGCAGTGTTCTTTCCTCATGCTTCTTTATACAGTCGTGTTATTGTGGCTCAAGTGGCTCCGACATTAAAGTTGCAGTAGATATGACACTCCATGTCCTCGAAGGCCAGACAAGACTTATCGATTTTCTGTTTGGACTGCACCGAGTGAGGCTTATGTTTCTAGTCAAGTTGTCCTCTTTTTCTCTCTCACACCACACACTTAAATAATTTTTATTAAAGGGGTCATATGATGTTGCTAAAAAAAAACAGTATTTTGTGTGTTTGGTGTAATGCATTGTGTTTATGTGGTTTAAGGTTCAAAAAACACATTATTTTCCACATAATGTACATTATTGTTGCTTCTCTATACCCCGCCTTTCTAAAAACGCATCGATTTTTACAAAGCTCATCGTTCTGAAAAGCGAGGTGTACGCTGATCCAGTTATCCAGTGCGTTGTGATTGGCTGAATACCTCAAGCGTGTGACGGAAATGTTACACCCCTTACCATACTGTGATGCCGTGTCCCGGCGCGACGAGACAAAAACATTAAAACCCATTACAAATGAGGCATTTAACCCATTACAAATGAGTGTAACGGAGGCCAGCGAGTAAGTGCTGTGCAGGTAAACTTCACTCTCCTGATCTCAAGAGACGCACTAGCGACTGATGCTAGAGGCTGCAGTGCAGTCTTTAGCCTCCTTGTTAGTGTGTCCACCTCCCATGCCGGATACCCGGGTTCGAGACCCACTCGGAACAAGAACGAGGTGTGGCGGTGAAGACCCGGGGTAGAGGGGTTACACTTGCAAAGTTGGAACTGCCCCACTTTATAGAAACAGCCTTTGTGGATCAGCTCTAGGCATGACGAAGCAGATATTGTCCTCTTTTTGGAAGGCCAAACAAAGTAGTTTCGCTTTCACAATAAAACACATAGCGTCTCCACAACATGGCAGCGGCGGCAACAACAATACTACAGCAAGAATAAAAGTTGCGCCTTCTTTCTTTGCGTGAACATTTGGGTGGTGTTATGCAAATCTTCCCACATCATGACGTAGACATGTGGGGGCGTGTTTAAACGAGGCATTTTAGGAGGGCGTGGACAAGTCTTAACTTTTATAAAGAATATCTCTTTGGATTTGAGACTTTAGTCTTTTCAACTTTAGGGATCTTATCTATGCACCAACAGCTTGTAACACTCCAAAGAGAAAGGAAAATTTGAAATTGCATCATATGACCCCTTTAAAATGTAAGATTTTTTTTTGGAAAGTAGCACTTTTTTAGCATTTTGAGCAAATTTGCATTAAATTGATAAAAATATGTAAAGATATTTATAATGCTACAGAAGAATAAATGTTCAGAAAATTAAATTCTTTTGAACTGTCTATGCATCAAAGAATCCAGAAAAAAACATTTTCAGTTTCCAAAATAAATAAATAAATGCATAAGCGACACAACTGTTTTCAACATTGATAATAAAATGAAATGTTTCTTGAGCTCCAAATCAGAATATTAGAATGATTTCTGAAGAATCATGTGACTGTCTGAAGTAATTGCTGCTGAAAATTCAGCCTGATATAAATTACATTTTAAAATACATTAATACAGAAAACGGTTATTTTAAATTGTGATGAAATTTCAGTTTTTTCAGTTTTTACTCTATTTTTTATTAAACAGCCTTGGTGAGCATAAGAAACTTCTTTAAAAAACATTTTAAAAACTTACCAACCCCAATTTTTTGAATGATAATTTATCTATTCATAGTTTATATATATTTTTAGCCAGTTTCATTTGTTACTATGTTCCCAGAGTGTTGTTCCTTGTGTTGTTTAGGGCAAAGTCTTTTTTTATGGCTCAACTAATAGTGATAGTTTAGGGCTGGATTACCAGTGTAGCCAAACAATGGAAGGCGGAAACAGTATTTTTGTCATTCTTTTTAGCACTTTAAATGGTGCAGAAATTAGGCAGTGTATTCCCGGATCCAACTGCATTTTTTGCTTCTGTGATAGGTAAAGGAACTGGAGCACTTACTGTGTCAGATGGACCACAATTCTCTAGTGATCTGGACATCCTCCAGTAATGCCCAGCGATCTGCTTTTAGTCTAGATGACATACAGCATCAGAAAAGCCATGAGCCCTACAGCTCCTCGAAATATGGGTCTGATCTACTTAGTTTAGCCCTAAACCGTCACTACAACAACCGGGTAAGTTCACAGTTTCCTACAGAAAATGGTAATAACTGCATGAATTGTTTTATATTATAATTATTATGATTATCATAATTGTGAATTAGCCATGAATACTAGTCATCTGTTCACAAGGTTTGTACTCATCAGTGATCTGTCCTGGTCTGGTCATGACTAACCTCACCTATGGCATTCTACCATCATTCTTCTGGACTCTCATCATGCCTATAATGTGGCTTGTAGGTCCTCAATTTACTTTACTTTTTGTATATCAACACAATAATAGGAAAGTCACACAAATCTAACGTTGTGTTAATGTCCTGTCCTATCTCATCAGATAAGGATATTCACCAACACTTTTACCCTCTCACCTTACAATGGAGCAGAGGCTTTGGTAAGTACCACCACCACCACCACAAATGTTCATAGCATCATCAAGTTTAACCATGAATAATTATTACAATTTATTGAATCACTTCATAGAACTACTGAATTGTATGACAGTGAAACGGTAAATGTTTCATAGTACAAGGAATGGAAAAATGAAGTCAAGATGTGAAACCGCTTTGATTCTAATATTTTTTTAAGCTTATTATTGCATGTCATTTGGAGAAATGACTCCGTTCATTCACAGTTCTCTGTGCCTCATTGCTTTCTCCTTGTCTCAGTTTTCATCTGTTTTTTTTTATTACACAGTTTTGGCTGTTCATGCAGAAACCTGAGTCACTGGACCCGATGGCCAAATACCACAGTTTGACCTCTGGACTTGGAAACAATTACACTCAGCCACACAAGGTCAGAACTGACAATCAGGTTCCCTCACTCATCTATTTTTCATGCCTGTTTTAGTCTATTTTAAGCCTATTTTAAATCCAATTTTATATAGCACATTATAATCTGTAGGGTTTACAGTATATGCTTTGTGATTTGGTTAGTTCTGCAAGGGAATCCATGGACTTTCATGTTTCTCAGCTGTTGAACTTGTTCATACTATTCATTACTGATACTTTCCATAGTTTAACTGCTTTTTGTGTGTTTTCAGATGGATAATGATGAAAACATGTCCGAGGCCCTCTATGTGAAGTTATTAGAACTTGAGGATACAGTGCGGAAGAAACTGAGAGATGAGGATCTATATATCAAAACAAAAAACTAAATATGGACACAAAACCTCATGCATTCTATTGGCTTATAACACATTTCAATCTTGAAATGTTATCTATGGAATGGATAAACGCCTCATGAATATTTATTTTTCTTGAAGATCTTTAGAAACACTTTATATGAAATGATTATGATAATCTAGCATGGCTATGAACCACATCATGTTCTTCACTTAGCTTGTATTTACAAAAAGTACTTGTATGCAAAGGACCCTTTTCACAAGACTGTGATGTATGTACATGTATAACACTACACTTTGTATTACATTACCTTTGCATCAAATTACTGAAAACTATTTAACGCTAATGCGAGGGTGTTTCTAATACAGTGTCTATGGGAGTGACGGTAAATTTGACATCGTTCTCTCTTCTGACTGCCATTATCAGTCTCTCTCTATTTTAGTCTATTTTAAGTCTTTTTTTGAAATCTCCCATTCACTTCTATAGAAGCTATAGAACCCAACTACGACAACTTCCGCTGCCGAGAAATCCGGAAATGTGAAAGATATTTTTATCCAAATTGATTTACATTGCATTTAAGGCGTTTTCCCTGGCAATCGAACCTATGACACTGGCTTCGCTATCACCATGATCTACTGTTTGAGCTACTTATAATTATTGTGCAATTTATATTAGTTTTGTTGCAGTGCATTCCAAGGTGAATGGTTTTTACCAAATAATTACTGCGAACAGTCAGCAGTCTCTGATGAAAATGGGACCACAAATCTGTCATGTATATTTTAGCTGTTTTTCATGTCCATTTTATTATGCCCCCAAATGGGCTTCTTCCAAAATGTTTTGATTAATAAGAAAAAACTAGCTGAGGGAACTGGGTCAAAATCAGCACACGCTATGAAGAGGGACAGTGAATCTGCTCATGCAGTGAATAATAGTGTACCTGTACATTTTATGATTAATAATTCACCTAAAAAGTATAAACTGTTAAGTGTTTAAGATTTCAGTTCAACTTTACTTTGACAGTCTTTTACAGACCTGTTCCTCTTCCTACAAAAAAAAGTTAAAAACTGTCATTCATCTGATACACAGTACATATGTGACAGATCCATGTGCAACTGAGACTTTCTTTTACAGTCTATTTTTTTCTATTAGCTCTTAAAGGACAAAGCAAATGCAGAAAAGTAATATGAAGTGCCGTTGTAACAATTTATTCAACTACATAGCATTAATGTATATATCAGAAACGAATTTTCTGGATGAGAGCTGGCAATGTAGAGAGATTGCAGATATTGATGGGTCGCCATGGTGAAGATCATAAAGATGCACTTCCCTGTGTTAATAAAGAAATGTTAATGCTGAAACCAACTTGACTTTGTATGTTTTGCAACTAAGTTTAAGTTTAGAGATTTCTGAGCACATTAATACGACGACAGACTTGGCAATCTTACCTTTGTTTAACGCTGGAGTCCTCCGGTTACTGTGCGCGGGAAGATGTTCGGGTAAATTACTACGAATGACTAATGAAGCTGGAGCATATTTGGTGTTGTTTTATTTATACTTCACAATATTAATCCACAATATAGGATGAAGCGATGTTACTGTGTGTCGGTTGATCCAGACATTCGGCTTTGGTTAAATGCCGTGTATGTGCCGGCTGAGTTGTTTCCACATCTTCAGGATCCGCAAAGATTTGTTGCAGAGGGACTTGTGAAAAACTGCTCGTGTCGCACTCTGTTTCTTCAGCAAAGCCACTGAGTTTAGGGTTGCAGAATGCCCAAACCATGCCACAAAAGTACACAAAAAACGCTGACATCACCAAAAACATGAGCGCATAAGACTCAATCATCGCCTCCGTCACCACATTCGGCATCCTCGCGCGCGGAACAACACTTTCTAGCTACATTAACCGTGAATTGAAGTCAAAGTCGATTTAGCTGAATGTCCATGAATCACAGTCGTCTTCAGTCCTCTGCAGTCTGCACCTGTGCGCTTGGGCATCACAATTGCTCCTGCCCTCATTAACACTTAAAGTTCCGCACTTCCCTATGAAGCTTTGTCAATATTTAGAAAAAAAGAAATGTCTGGGACCAGAATTTTAACGGGAGGGCACTTTTGGCTCTGTAGAGAAGGTGAACTGCTTTAAAACACTTTTCAAACTAGCTTGATTTGACCGCTAGCAATAATATTAGGCATACTTCACTGTCATAAAATATGAACATAACAGTCTCAGTTCTCACAAATAATGTAGGCTATTGTGGTGGAAATGATGGTGATTGGACATGTTTGGTATCTTATCAGTTGACATTTGTTTTGCTTGCTATAAGGATGATTTCATAGCTAAAGTAATGCAATTAAATAACTTTTTTATACTTTTTGAATATCTTGCATGACACACAATAAATTAGTCTGCTCACAAGTGATAATTACTTAGTTCCCCCCCCCCCCCCCCCCCCCCCCCCCCCCCCCCCCGTTATTAGAGACCAATTGTTTATTATTGATTTTTGGTCTGTTCTGTCAAACCGAATAATTTTCAGGAGGTTTGTTCACGCTTATTCACAATTTACCACATTAAAAGATTAATCACACCAATGTTTTCATCGAACTAAACCTGCCAAGTGTGAACACACCCTTACACAACCAAACCTGTATGACTTCTGTGTAAAAGAAGAATTCTAAGAAATTTCTCAAGATTTCCCCCCCATACAATGGAAGTCAATAGTAGCCAAAACTGTTTGACAGGTTTATGACATAAGGGTGAGTAAATGATGACAGAATTTTTTAGTTTTGGGTGAACTATCCTTTTAAGATGAACAGTCGGAGTCTGGGAAAAGGGTACAACAATAAAAATGCATAGGCTACATAAAATCATTTGAATGTAGTAAATAAAAGATGAACGCGATAAAAAAAAGTGTACGAGATCATTTTTATGTGATCATATAATTACATTGTTCACCTGGTAGACAAATCCTATAACAATAACATCATCAATCCTACGTTAGCCTACCCTATTCAGACATTTCTGTAGCTCTATAAATAAACTGCCAAGAGAATTCAAGCTTTGCATCTATTACTTAACTTGTGACGTGACACATTTTCTTCTCAAAGATTGCTGAATGATTGCTTTGATGGGGTTACTCAGAATCCAAAGCTATTTCGAGCTTTTTAGAAGACCAGTCATGGGGTCATATGACCTGACTCAGTGTCCCTCAGGGGCCGCAAGGGGTATTAGGGGGTCTGTGTTAAATCTATACGTAAAACACTTTTTTTTACACTAAGTAAATAAAAAAAACAAACAAAAAAACGTTTTACTCTTCTATTTTAAGTAAATTTTTTTGACAGCTAGGCCTAGCTATTGCTTTGACAAAAAAATCTTTAGATTTATAGATGTTTACATAATCTTCTACAATAGTAGATAATTTTAATACAATGACAATACAAAAGCCAATCCAGCAAATAACAATATTGGGTCTTCTCTCTCTCTTTCTGGAGTATGTTGTGCGACTACATGTACCACAAGTCTTTGCGGTCAGAGTCCCGGATGTCTTTACGCCGGAAGAGAAGCGCGAGTCTTTTCCAGCCATCTTGTGGCATCTAGCAGCGAAGTGTTCGCTCAGGCCCTGTAGAATCGGAGGAGAATCCTGCTGAAAGGGGGCCATCATGCCCGGACATCTGCAAGAAGGTTTCGGCTGTGTAGTAACCAATCGGTTCGACCAGCTATTTGATGATGAAGAGGATCCGTTTGAGGTTTTGAAGCAGGCAGAAAAGAAGAAGGACGCGACCGCTCCTGGTGCCACCAAGACCGCCGCGCAGGCTACAAAGCAGACCAAAAAGGAGTCACAGAAAGAAAGAAGAAACCCAGTTTCTGAGAAGAAGGAAGAGACACAAGCTCCCGTTCCTCGTAAGAAAGATGGTAAATATCGCTTGCATTAAACTCGTCATTTGGGCACACTTTTCCTAAGTGAGCAGTCTGCAAAAGACGCGACTAAAGCCCATGAGGTCACGCATGTCACTATTGTTGATGAGCTGCCTGACATCTCATAAACTTTCAGCAAAAATGCTTTTTCGCGCCATAACGTTACATTGTTTCTATGTGACGCACGCAGTAGAACTTGTTGCTATCTCATTATTTTGTAGATTCATCATGAACTGCAGGCCTATTGATAACCGTCGGTTTGTTTGTTAAATGTCTGGTATATTTGTGCATATAACTCTACATGCTAGTAAAAATCTCTCATTCAGTACTAAAAATAACTGCTTATTGATAGTCTCCGAATGTACAGTCCGTTATCGCTTGGCTTTTTATTAAAGCTCGAGCAGTGCAGCTCCAGCCTCGTGTTTGAGGCAGTAGAGTCGGTCCTCTCAGTCATGACACTCCCATTGAAAAGCCTCCTATTGTGACGCCGGTTTTTAACTTCATCAAGTGCTTTAAAATTGCGCCAGCCTGAACAGTGCTGAAGGTAGGGTTGTCAGTTTTTTTTTGTCGGGTGTCAGTGGCCCTGACTGATCAGGATGAGAGGAGGCAGCGGGCGCGTGATCAGCTGTTGGGCCGCGCGAGAGCGTCTATTTCGGTAACTAGGCGGAGGGTGGGATCAGTCAAGAGGCGCAAACCATTATTATTAGTGTATTGCTTAGCTAGTGTGAAAACTAAGAAAAACACAGACGTCTCCTGTGCAAGTAAATAAGAAAAACACGCAATTTTAAGCAGTTAAACTAAAGAAGTAACGTTAATAGCGTAATAATGTGTATTTACTACGTTCTTCCCTTTCAGAGAATTTTGGTATTGTCCACTTTTTACATTTAAAAGGATAGTTTGCCAGAAATTAAGTTTATTAACATCCTTAAGTTGTTTTAAACCTTTATGAGATACAGACAATGTTTTGCATAATGACATTCACGTTTTTTTTAATATCTTGTTTTAATAAAAGTGATTGGTGACAGATGCTGTAATTTAGCCTTTAGAGTTACACTAATGAAATGAGTTACATGGTTTTGGAACAGTTTTGAGGGTGAGTGAATAATGACTATTTTTGTACTTAAAGGGTTAGTTCACCGCAAAATGAAAATTATGCTGCGTTTTACTCACCCTCGAAGCATCCTAGGTGTAGCTTGAAAGATCAAAGACAATTTTTAATATAACTCCGACTGGATTCGTCTGAAAGAAGAAAGTCATATACACCTAGGATGCTTCGAGGGCGAGTAAAACACAGCATAATTTTCATTTTGCGGTGAACTAACCCTTTAAGCACATTAATTGAAGTGAATTTTGTAATTCAGATTAAGACAACACCTTTTGTTTTAGCGTAAAAAAAAAAAAATCTCATTCATCATTCTTTTCTATGATACTTGTTGCTATCAACGGAGTTGAATCATTTGTGTGTCTGTTTTGCAGGCATGAAGAAAATGGGCCGCCGGCCAGAGCAGCAGGGTCAGACAGGATCCCAGCAGCAGGGAAGTCAGGGGGAGGGTCGTCCACCAGCCGACAGGCGGCCTGACAGGAGGCCACCACGTGAACGACGCTTTGACAAACCCGCTGATGAAAAACCTGCTGAGGGTGGAGAATTCTCGGTGGAGAAGTGAGTCAATTGACCTTTGTTTGTGTGGTAATACATAGTTGATCTTCAACGTTTTATATTGAAATCATTTAATTCCAGCAGAAGTGTACTTTTGTTTTTAATGCTTTATTTATTTTTTATTTTTTTTCATGTTTATTTCTGATCAAGTGAGCGTGAAATAAAAATTCACTGTCTATTTTCCAAATGCATCTTGTAGATCTTATTGTGAACAATTCATCTGTGTGTATGTTTCATTTTGAAAAGATTTTGAACTTCTAATAATTAATCAAAATTTCATAAACTCTTTTAGTGAAAACACCTGACTTCCCTTTGGTAATCCGCTTTAAAGACTTTAAAGGAACTTAATACATTAATTTTCCTGCATAAAGTTCTAAAGAAATTAAGTAGCAAGATCCAAATTTAGGTAATTTCAGCAGAAATGGCTGACATCTAACTGCTATATTATCTCTCCTCTTCAGGTCTGTCAGTGACAGGCCATTCCGGGGTCGTGGAGGTGCTAGAGGAGGGCGCGGAGGCCGGGGCAGAGGTGTTAGCAGGACTGACGGCTTTGACTCACGCGGCAAACGCGAGTTTGACAGACACAGTGGCAGCGACCGATCGTAAGTCATTTGCATCCACATGTTGACTCCAACTGTAATGCTGCCCAAAGCTAAGTGTTAATTATTGTTTCAGCAGCCAGAGAGCAGAGGAAAAACGTGGAGGGAGTGGATCTCATAACTGGGGCACTGTTAAGGATGAGTTGAGGTCAGTGGAGCAACAGATGCTTTGTCTGCCAAAATCTTGAAAATGCAGATGAGTTTGATTCACATACTGGTCAGTTGGAGGCGTTTTGGCTCATTATGATAATTTTGTGAAATTGGATACATTTCTTTCCTTTTACAGCGAGCTTGACCAGTCAAATGTCACCGAGGACACCCCTGAAGGAGAGGAGCACCCACCTAATGACTCGGAGAACAAGTGTGTACACTTCAGCTCTAAATTAGCGCTGCACTGCTGAGTCATTGTTTGCCATTTGCTGCCAGCACTATTGTGTTGCCGCCTATAATAAAAAAAAAACATATAGTGTGTAACTTTAGGATTGATTCAAGCATGAAGGCTCTATTAAAAGCACAACACGTTTACAATCTCAAACAGTTATTGAAAGGACAAGTACTACTTATTTGATTAATTGGGATTTTCCATGCATGAACTAACTGGATGCAGTACTTTTAGGTCAGTTTAGATGTTGCTGTTTCCACAGGGAGAATGAGGTTGAGGACCTTAAAGAAGAAGGTCCTAAGGAGATGACTCTGGATGAATGGAAAGCCCAGCAGAATAAAGAGAGAGCCAAAGTGGAATTCAACATTCGTAAGGCCAACGAGGGAGCCGATTGGAACAAAGGATACGTTCTGCACAAGTCTAAGGCTGAGGATGTAAGTAAAATGACAGAGTTTGAGCTTTTTGTGTTTCATGCTAAATGTGAGCCGTGCTTCACGGACAAGCTGCGCATAAAAACATAATCGCTGCCCATGCGATATCATAATCACACTAGACATGTCGATTTACTCGAGATTTAGTGTTAATCGCGATTTATCGTGCAGCCCTACTTGTAAGCAGCCTGGAGATGTGCTTGAGGAACCGGATTGCTCTCCATTTAATATGACATCATTACTCTAAAAGCACAACCCCAGTGTTTCTTTAAAAACACATAAGCATTCAGACATGTCATTACATTCATTGTCTCATTTTTTTGCTTCAGTCCTTTTCAACCCAATTGAGAAATGAATCGTTTCAGTTGTTTGGATGTTGAACTAAAATGTAAGTTTCATAAAATATACTTGTTCACTTTCCTGCAGTCCTCTGTTGATGATGCCTCTGGGGATCACCACTTCCGCAAACTAGCGAATGACATTACAACCCAACTGGAGATTAATTTTGGTGACTTGGGCCGCCCAGGACGTGGTCGTGGAGGACCACGAGGTGGCAGGGGAGGCCGTGGGGCCCCTGCTACCAGGCCACCTCGCGAACGCAGGCCAGACAGGGTACAGTCTCTTTGTATATTTGATCTGCAGGTACGCTTATATATTTGTACCACTGTGGAAGAGTTTGCACATCTGTCCAAAGGTGGAGGTTGTCATCACAACCTTATTTATGGAGTTACACACACCTGATTCGATTATGATTGCTGATTGGTTGTTAACATTTGGTTTGAAAAACATATTGTTGAAAAGTTTGGGGTCAGTAAAAAATTTAAGAAATTGATTATATTCAGCAAGGACACATTAAATTGATCAAAAATGACAGTGAAGACATTTGCATTGTTACAAAAAATAGATATTTTAAGCTATTAAAGCTATTCTTTTGAACTTTCCAGTCATAAAAATGTTTAAAAACGCATCAGTTTTCACAAATAAAGATAATAAGCAGCACAGCTGTTCAAATAAATGCAACCTTGGTGAGCAAATCAAGACCTCATTCAAAAACATTAAAAATAAATCTTACCAAGACGTCCATGGCTGCTTGGGAAAAAATATGAAGTACATGTAGAGTAGTATTGCTAGATAATCTCAAAGATTAACCATAACTCTTAAAGTCTGGCATTTGACTCAAATGGACTGCTTTTCTTGTATCTGTATCTTTTAGGCCGGTGGAGTGTCTGTCCCTAATGTGGACGACCCAGAGGCTTTCCCAGCCCTGGCTTAAGCTGCCCAGACAGCACTCTGCTCACCCAGGAGGATCACTCCTCCACGGGTCCCTGTCTATGAGGCTTGCATGCAAACGGATCCTTCAGCAGATGTAATGATGGAAGACTGTCATTCATGCCATTCACCCCTGAGGACTGATTTGACTTGTTTTAGGAAAAAAAGATGGAAAATTAAAAAAAACAAAAAAAAAAAAACAAAGGACGGACTTCTTGCTATTCTGAAGCAAATTATTGGTTGAGGTTTTGTATTTAGAAATAAGGTAGCAGGGATGTTTTCATACAGCATTTCTTTTGTTTTTGTTTTTTTCTCTCTCTTGAGAAATTATGCATTGTTCATGGATACTTTTTGTACTGTTGCTTGAAAATATGTGTTTCCAAAAATAGGTGTGAAGAGCACACCAGTCTATCTTAAGGTGTCCCGTAGCTAGCTTGCTTTTTACACACAAATGCCTCAAAACAAGGCAGTCATTTCAGGAATAAGATCTACAAGTTAAGTCTTTTAATTTGTAGAGGTTACTGCATCTCTAGGGGAAATTACAGAGCATTTTGGTACTGCTCTTTATGGTATTAAACATCTCGATTCCCTGAAAGCAAGCCTTGAAACAATCTGAAATCATTTCGATTAAATGTACAATTTATGATTCATAACTTATCCAAGATATAGTTCCGATGATTCCGTTGCATTCGCCACAAAAAGTGTCTTTTATCAAATGACCACTGTAAAGTTCAAAATGGTATCTTTATACCATTGACTCTGGTAACTCAGGATAGTATCATACTTGTTACGCAAAGTTCCAGTGTAAATACAAGCAGCAAGTTTACACACCGCACTCCTGTTTACTGATAAATGTGAGCCAGGTTATGGATAAATCCTCTTATATCCTGTTAGAAGTGACTTTCTTTCTTCCCCATTGCTTTTACAACAGCTTTACTGCATAACTGATCTGAAAGAAACACCATCCTGTTCAGTGTGGAACAGCTGAGTGCTATGATAATGTGTGAGTTCGTACCCTGCTATTAGACCTCTGTCAATAATTAAAAGATGGTTGATTCATACAGAGTTGTGTGGAATTTAACTTCAAAGATGAAACGGCTTCGAACTTGTTCTTGTCTGATGCTAGACATTTACATTTTAAAGTCTTGAGTTTCTAAAAAAAAATTTGAATAGTGATACTGGTCTTGTTTGTAGCCAGCCGTATAGGGTATCTTTTGCTATGGTGTAGTTTTGGTTGAAATGGTCTCTGAGATGGAGTTTGGCTTGTAAATAACAATGAGGTCCCAGTTGTTAACATTAAGTTAATGCATTAGATAACATGAACAATGAGATTTATTTTTTGCAGCCTTTATTAATCTTGGTTAAAGTTGGATCAAATGCAATTGTTCAGTGTTCATGTTAGTACATGATGCATTAATGTAAAATGATTAGTTCACTTCCAGAAGGAAAATTGTCATTTACTCACCCTCCACTTGTTCCAAACCTGTATGAGTTTCTTTCCTCTGTTGAACACAAAAGAAGATATTCTGAAAAAATGTTGGTGAACAGTTGATGAGCACCATTGACTTTCATAGTAGGAAAATAAAATACTATGGAAGCCAATGGTGCTCATAAACTGTTTGGATACCAACATTTTTCAGAATGTTTTTTGTGTTCTGCAGAAGAAACTCCTACAGGTTTGGAACAAGTGGAGGGTGAGTAAATGATGACAGAATTTTCATTCTGGAAGTGAACTAATCCTTTAAAAGTTTCAAGTTTTGATTTTAAAAATGTTACATTTTGAATTTAAAATTAACATATGCTATAGAAATCTTATTCAATGTATTCATGTTAGCGAATGGAACCTTATTGTAAATGAAATATTGTATATCAATTATTGTAACTGAAATAACCAGCCGCTCATATAGTGATTCCTGGCATTGGTTAATTGGCATTTGGAGTGGACTTAACACTTGCAAGTGTATTTTGCAAAAGCATTTGGCAGCTGTCAGTATTTCTGTGTGCTGTTGCTGGCTATTCACATTTCCTTTAGGAATGTTGCATTTAGTTTATTATTGAGGTTTAGTTTGTGCAATACACATGAACAACTATTTATGGCTGACTGGTAAAATTATCTAGAGACTAAAATTATGTGTTGCCATCTCTCCACAAACCCATTTACCATATAATTTTAAAGATGTAGTGACAGTAAACCACACATATGAACATATTTTGTCCTTGATGCTTTGACTTTAACATGTTTACATACAAATACAAACTTTACATTAAGACAGTATTCAGCTAAGCTGCTGAAAAACGTGATTATGACAAATGTATTTGTCAAACATCTTGCATTAGAGTAGATATGAGTACTGAGTATGCCTTGATACTGAAACTTGTGCAATTTTTTCTTGATTGTTTTGAAAAAGTTAAAGAGTTACAGTGTTAAAGTTAGTGTTGGACAGCTGCTGAGTGTTTTAGTGGAAAAAAACGACCATGTCGAATATGGCCTAAAACCTTTTCAAGTTACATTCATTAAGTATCCGTACTCCTGATGGGCTGTTACCAGTCTGTTAGATCATCTGCATTTCAGAGATCAGTAGCTCAGGCAGGCCACGTGTGCTTAAAAGGATATGAGAAGTCAACCTTGTTTTTGTTTCAACCATTTGCCACCCTTTATCACATCCCAAGAGGCCTACATTGGCCCATCCCTCAAACACAGCCATATAAGCTTTTTAGAATTGGCATGAAATTAAAATGAATCAATTTTCTAAATACATGTTATTGATCTTGTTTCTTGATTCATCCATGCATTTTTTTTATGAACTCAATTTTTTATTAAAATAGAATTACATTTTCTGGTGAAGCATCAGACTTCTATGCCAGACTTCTCCAAACATTTGATCCGCTTAAACTAACCCCTTCCTTAAAATCAACTGCAAGCTTGCATTCAGATCTACTTCCATCCAATCAACAACAGATATAAGCAAGTCACTGCCATACATTTTATCCATTTCACCTGGATGTTCATCACAATACGGGAATAGAAAATCTGTTGCTACTTCTGTTTCGTTACGACTTTAAAATGACTAACATTAGCTTGAGATGCCCAGGCAGGGCCGTTCTGCGCTCATTGGCGCCCCTTCAACTGGTGGCGCCCTAGGCGACCGCCTAGCTCGCCTATGCCTAGAAACGGCCCTGTGCCCAGGTATGGCTGAGATTCAGAGCAAGAAGAAAACGTTTGTCCTTCTGGCTGACAAATTATTCTTGGGATGTCCATGGTTATTTTTCAGCATCCATAGTACAGTCACAGTTGGGTCTAATTTTAATGCCTCTTGAGAATCATGTGCAATCCAGAAATTCACTGCAGTCTATTTTCACTACATCCAGCGTCAGCTTCCCTCCAGTTAAAACCAGGGGCTCCAGGAAAGGGCTGTGAGTGCTTGGGAATAATTCAAATTCATTCAAACTCCTCTCTTCTTCTTCATATTCATCTTCCTCTTCTCCTCCACTTATTGCCCCATGAGTGGAAATGTAGTCCTCCGTGATGTCTGTGATCCTGGTGATTTGGGTGGCATCAGAGGAGCTGGACTCCTGAGAGAAACTTTTGATGTAGGTGCAGATGCGGGGATAGGGAACTTCCTCCACCTCCACATTATCAGGCTCCTCATTCACACTGGAGTCACACTGGTCTAGGTAGAATTTCATTTCACTCTGTGCGAAGGGGAACAGGTGTGAATTGGTTAATGAATTACATTTATATAGTTCACATTTACACCATTTTGGTCAACAAATCCAATTCCATGTTTAAACAAAATTATAATACTGCAATAGGGTTGGGAAAATGCTATCATAATATGCCTACTTCTCTACTATGTGGGAGGCAAAAAACAGTATGTGAAAAGAGTAGTATGTCCGAATTCATAGTTCATTAAAAAAGTAGGCGAAATACATTCTACTTGACATTCTAAAGCAAATTCTTCTGTATTGCTTTTATACAACAGTTCAATAAACAAAATATTAATATCGCACAACTTACATTTTAGTCAAAATACTGCCAGTTACCTACTTACAAAATACAAATTTTGCTCCACATTCGAAAATAGTTCAGTTAAAACAAAAGTTAAAACAAAATGAATGCTTTTGAAGAAATCACTTAAGTGAATCATTCAATGACTCACTCATTAAGACTGTTCATTAAGCTGTTCTGTTCCTGAATGAATCAGTATTTTGAATGAATCATTTAAAGTGATTTAAAGTTAATAGGTAGCCAGTGCAGTCTCTACCTATTAAGTTCCGTATCAGTTACAAAATATTATTACTTGCCTATAAGGCCCTTAATGGGTTAGCTCCTGCGTACCTAACTAGTCTTCTACCACGCTACAATCCATCACGCTCCCTAAGGTCGCAAAACTCTGGACTTTTGGTAGTACCTAGGATAGCAAAGTCCACTAAAGGAGGTAGAGCTTTTTCGTATTTGGCTCCCAAACTCTGGAATAGCCTTCCTGATAACGTTCGGGGTTCAGACACTCTCTCTCCGTTTAAATCTAGATTAAAGACACACCTCTTTGGCCAAGCATTCAAATAATGCATCTCATAATCTTGTACTGCAGTTATATCTGATCAAATGCACATTATTATTCTTTAGTTTGGGTTAAACAAATCAATTTTGCTTGGTTGGAACAGCAGCTACGCTAATTATGTCTCTATTTGTTTCTCTGTTTTTTGCCACGGGATTTTACACAAGCTTCAGTCTGGATCCAGAACACCTGAGAAGAGATGATGCCAACCCCTCAGAGGACCTCAGATGATGCCAACCCTGAAACAACATACAGAACTACCACATTTTCCTATAAGTTTGATTGCATCATATAATAATTGCTGTTAATAGTGTTCATCGTCTGTTTTATTACGTCTTAAATTGATTTTTCCGTACATTTCTGCCATATGTACATTAACTGACAGTCACCACTGATAAGCTACCACTAAATATTTTAGAAACTTAATTTGCTGTAAAGTTGCTTTGCAATGATTTGTATCGTGAAAAGCGCTGTACAAATAAACTTGACTTGACTCATATGATGCGATTTCAAGTTTTCCTTTCTCTTTGGAGTGTTACAAGCTGTTCATGAATAGATAAGATCCCTAAAGTTGCAAAGACTAAAGTCTCAAACCCAAAGAGATACTAACTGTATATTTTTATTTTCTCAAGCAAAGCAAATTTTAAAAGTCCACTGAATAACTTAGATTTTTGGTCATAGACAACGTATGTTGAAGATATACGTTATTGTCAACGTTATTGCCTTATAAAAATGTTTATAAAAACGTGGGCTATATAAAATTTTTATAATAACAAACATCATATTGTTTTGCGTATGCTCGTGTCGCTTACAGTTGAAGTCCTTCTCTGATTTTATTATTGTTTGCAAGGTTGCAACGTTACTTTGCAATATTTTAAATACTTTTGGGTATTTTGCATGGTCTGTTATTGGAGTGTCACCCGGGTGGGAGTTTTAACTCCTATTCACTGTGAATAAAAAAAATAATTTAGCTGATGCAGAGAGACATATAGACCGGAGGATATCCCCCCATCTCCCCACCCTCTGATTACGTATCATAACTTAACTACGTGTAAACGTTATTTGGCAGTTTTTATTTTTCTATAAAAACGTGGGTTATATAAAATTTTAATAATAACAAACATCATATTGTTTTGTGTATGCTCGTGTCGCTTGAAGTCCTTCTCTGATTTTATTATTGTTTGCAAGGTTGCAACGTTACTTTGCAATATTTTAAATACTTTTAGGTATTTTGCATGGTCTGTTATTGGAGTGTCATCTGGGTGGGAGTTTTAACTCCTATTCACTGTGAATAAAAAAATTATTTAGCTGATGCAGAGAGACATATAGACTGGGGGAATCCCCCCATCTCCCCACCCTCTGATTACGTATCATAACTTAACTACGTGTAAACGTTATTTTGGCAGTTTTTACTTGGAAAACCAGCTATATTTTTTTAGGGATGCACGATATATCGGCCACCATATCGGTATCGGCCGATAAATGCTCATTTTTTCTGTTATCGGTATCGGCCCGATAAGAAAATTTGGCCGATGTCTTAAAGCCGATAAATAATGCATTATTTCCAGTTTTACAAATGAGGACATCCACAAATTGAGGTTTTTGCCCATTTTGTCAGGTTTTGCTCACTTTTGGGTACAAATTTGTCCCCAAAATATGGTTAAGTAGGTACACACACACACATATGATTCCACCCAATCAGCTTATCTTTGTAAAATGGAACAGCTTCTTAAATAACTGAATGCCAATCAAGCATTATATTATGATATTATGATAATCAAGCACTATTTAATGATAGAACTAGTGATCAGAACTAAAACTTGGTAACCATGAATGAATGCATATTTGTTATTTTAACTGAACTTAGGACTGGTGATGGTGTTTAAGATATTGTTGGTCATAGGTAATAGTAATTATTATTAAAAGATACTACTACTACTACTATTATCTGCTGGGTTCATGATTATTAATCACGTGGGTCTTATCACTCAGCGTACCCAGTTAAAAAAGTCACCACTCGCCACTGGTTTAAGTTGTATTTACAACACTGTTCCAGAACAGT